AACTGTACAGCTTTACATGATTCACAGACACAGGCATTGAACCCTGGGTCTGCAGTGCAGAGATTAGCAATAGATCTGGATTATGAAGGTGGCCGTCTGTCCTTCTACCAGCTATGTGACTCCATCAGACACCTCCACACCTTCACCACCACCTTCACCGAACCCCTCCATGCAGTGTTCTATGTAAATGATGAAGCCTGGGTGAAGCTTATTTCTCCGGTGTTTTCTGTAATACCATAATTTATGAAATTTCCTATATTTTGAGGTTGTGTGTTATCCAAAAAACAAAATGGGTAGAGTAGATGAGTAAAAATCTTGGCTATAGTAACAACTGGTGCATGTGCGTTACCGTGCATGCAGCACAACAGGCGGTACATGTGCAATGCAGCACGTTGAAATTTAGTTTGAATCTTACCCCAGTGTCCAGCTGCGTTTAGTGCACCACATTACAGAAAATGTAAAATGGTATCAATTACTTACCAGAATTTTCCATTGTTGGTATCAATCCATGGTGGCATATCACCACAGGTATGCTACCATGTGGTCCCAGGAAAATGGAATATTGCATCAAATACTTACCACGATTTTCCATTCCTATCGCCTATCCATGGCGGCATATATGGGGTAATATGCTGCCATATTGGCGCAAGTTAGTGTGAATGACTTGTACGTTGTGTTGGCTAAAAATAGTGCCGCTATGTTTTTTTTAGTGTATTAGGACTTTTAAGGCCCCGTTCACACCAATGTAGTACGACATCAGGTGTCGCACATATGCGTGTTTTTTATGCGTTGTTCTGCTTCATGAGTAAGACCGCCCATTCATTCCAGTGAGTTGCCCTACTTGCGACAAACATGGCAAAAATGCTCATGTTTTTTTTCCTGAGCGTCACTTGTTAAGTGCTTTTGGTATCATGCTTTCCTGCGCCATATTGCCCTTCTTGTTTGGCACATTTTGGGTGCCATTAACAATGGATGGCAAAGCTTGGTACACCTTTATTCCAGAAACCCCTGTATGGATACACCCATACTGTTGGGGAACGGTACCTCATTACCCTTCATACGTAGACTGGTTCTTATTGGGGTGCAGCCCTTCTTGGGGGCATATCAGATATCCACAGGCCTACTGGCCGATATGACCCATGGCTTTATTCGCCTTTCCCTGTGTGGTAACCTCCTTCACATCAGTTACATGTGGGGATGGGTACCACTGTTGGTTACGGAGACAACAGGTTAACCGCTTACCTGCCGCTGTATAGCAGATGTACTGCTACACGGCGGCACGGGTGTGCAAATCACATATATATACGTGATGTTGCATTTTTGGGTAGTGGGCGCTTGTGAGCCGCGCCGCCATTTGCGGCTGTAGATGTCAATCACTGGGTCCTGGCTGGTGATTTCCCACTGGTGCCAGGTGATTACCGACAATCACCGACGGGGAGGAAGACTGTTTTGTTTACAAAGTCTTCCTCCCTGTCAGCTTGGGCACACTGCTCGAGATGGCTGTGTACAGCACAGCCATCCCAAGCAGTTTGCTTACAGTGAAGCACCCCCCCCGCCCCCTAGTAAAACATTCCCTACACACAGTTAACCCTTTGATCTCCCCTTCTTTAGCAAAGACACGGAGCAGAATACATTTTGCCTTAAAATTTAAATTAAATTACATTTTTTTGGCTATGTTTAATAGCCAAAAGTCAAAAATATTGTTTTTTTCCCTAAATTGTCGGTCTTTTTTTTTTATAGCACAAAAAATAAAAACCGCGCAGGCAATTAAATACCACCAAAAGAAAGCTCAATTAGTGGGAAAAAAAACATACATTTCATTTGGGTGCAGCGTTGCATGACCGCGCAATTGTCAAAGTAACGCAGCGCCGTAACGCTGGTCAGGAAGGAGGGGAAATCCTTAGGAGGGCGAGGGGTTAAGCAGATTAGTTAGAGTTAGTGTTTTATTGAGATTTTTTTAGGTTTTTTAGGTCAACATCATTATTGCTACTGAGTAAAATTCTATTTCTACAGGTAAATGAATCATAGGTTTGCTGTATATCATAATGTGGAAGTCCTGCGTGACGACCAATACACCTATACATGCATTTGCCTGATGTGAAGAGTTTGACTGACGTTCTGTTTTCTCTCCTGTTCTACTTTCTTTCTCTTCTGTTTTTATCTTCACTGTTTTTTTGGGTTTTTTTTACATGAGTTTTTTTGTACAGAAAAGTCAAATTGAAAATGGAAACTTGTTGGTTTTTTAATAAATTTGTGTACAAACAAATGCTCGTTTTTTTCACACTATACTAGCATGATTGAGGCCTAAGCACTCACTAAAAACAATGAGTGACAGTTCACGCAAATGTGCAAATTAACCCCTCGCCCTCCAGAGGATTTTCCCCCCTTCCTGACCAGGCCTTTTTGTGCGATACGGCGCTGCGTTACTTGCCTAGGGCGGTATTTTTCAGGGGGGCAGCACCTCCCCCAGAAGAAGGGATGAAATATGGGACACACGCACCATGGGAACCAGGTGGGCACCGAGAGAGGCTGCGGGCTGCTTGATGGTGTATGTAGAGCCTGGCTCTCGTTCCAGGGGATGTCCGGAGCTATGAAGATGAGTGTCGTAGAGTCAGTCGCTGATCTTGTGCCAGCATTTGTCGCCCTCCCTCGATCATGTCTGGGGTTCTGCTTGTTGACCCGAATGTGGCTCATCCTCAGTTGTTTCCTTCCTGTTGCAAAAGCGTTTGAACCAGTCTCTATCGCCGGAGGGTGGGGGTAGTGGAAGGCCCTCTTGGGTGAGGTGTAGAGGTGTTGTTGGTCAATGTCAGGCTCTCCCTGTGGGAGGGGGAAGGGGGAATTGTGTTGATCGGTGTCTATGGGGGCGGACGATTTTTGTGTTGCCTGGGGCAGCACAAAACCTAAATACACCTGTCTGTACCTCAGTATGGACATGGGGCTGGGGGCACATAATACAAGAGCACTGATTGCAGTTGCAATGCTCTGCACATTTTTTACTATATCAGTTTTGGTTCATTTACAACATTTTTGCAAAAAGTGGACTATTCCTTTAAGGATTGGGCAAGCCAAATCTCTAAAATATAAGCTTTGCGTTTTAAAGTCAAAATCTGCATCTTTCATTAAAATAACACTTGGTGATCCTGCCATGAAGGTTCTTGTTCAGGTACTTCCTGTTACAGGGTGACAACGCTTAGTGCTTGTCTGTCAACTGCACTCCTGTGTTGTCTTCCTGTCACACTGGGGTGGATTTACTAAAACTGGAGCACCAGCACCATTTTCTTGTGGCCCCGAGTATTTTGACATCAGCGTATTACAGAAATAAAAAAAAAATGTTATATTTATTTTTTTATTTTTGCTGGTAACTTTTTCTTTGTGTGGTCTATTTCAAAATGTTGGGTCCATCTATATGGTGGGTTGGTCTATTGTAATATGCTGCCTGATGTCGATATACTCGAGGCCAAAAGAAAATGGTGCTGGTGGCTCAATTGGCATTAGGGAGTCTGGTAGTTATAGGCCCGGGACTACAACAAAATGGTGCCGGTAACGTCCACTTTGCGCCCATGACTACAACAAAATGGCGTTGGTAAGTTCCATTCCTTCCAATACAAATAATAAAGAGTGTGATATCATCTTGGAGATAGTATGAGCTGGGATAAGTGTAGGAGCATCAAACTAAGAACATAAACCAATGTTTCTGAAAAGACATCCATTCAGCACAGTACGAGTTCATGTCCCCCTTTACTAACTCTTATCATATCTTCAAACTTTCTGGGATCAGAAAGGGGGACACCTTTTAGGACATAGTATGTATGAAAATGACACATTCCCTGCCACACCCCTATACAAAAACTATGAAAAATGAAATAAAAATAAAATTCTAAGGTGCTTTTTTCACTATTACTTTTTCCTTTACAGCGGGTTTTCAAAACAACAAATGCTATCATTTAGAGATTGCATAAAAATATTTAGCTAAGTAACACTTTTTGTAGTCAAATAATAAAGTGTTACTAAACCCCAGACCCTGCATTCACTATATCTGGTCTCCCCGGACCCTGCATTCACTATATCCGGTTTCCCCGGACCCTGCATTCACTATATCCGGTTTCCCCGGACCCTGCATTCACTATATCTGGTCTCCCCGGACCCTGCATTCACTATATCTGGTCTCCCAGGACCCTGCATTCACTATATCCGGTCTCCCTGGACCCTGCATTCACTATATCTGGTCTCCCCGGACCCTGCATTCACTATATCCGGTCTCCCTGGACCCTGCATTCACTATATCTGGTCTCCCCGGACCCTGCATTCACTATATCGGTTTCCCCGGACCCTGCATTCACTATATCTGGTCTCCCCGGACCCTGCATTCACTATATCTGGTCTCCCCGGACCCTGCATTCAGTATATCCACTCTCCCAGGACCTTGCATTCACTATATCCGCTCTCCCCGAACCCTGCATTCACTATATCTGGTCTCCCCGAACCCTGCATTCACTATATCCGGTCTCCCCAGACCCTGCATTCACTATATCTGGTCTCCCCCGGACCCTGCATTCACTATATCTGGTCTCCCCGGACCCTGCATTCACTATATCCGCTCTCCCCGGACCCTGCATTCACTATATCTGGTCTCCCCGGACCCTGCATTTGCTATATCCGCTCTCCCCGGACCCTGCATTCACTATATCTGGTCTCCCTGGACCCTGCATTCGCTATATCCGCTCTCCCCGGACCCCGCATTCACTATATCCAGTCTCCCCGGACCCTGCATTCACTATATCCGCTCTCCCCAGACCCTGCATTCACTATATCCAGTCTCCCCGGACCCTGCATTCACTATATCTGGTCTCCCCGGACCCTGCATTCACTATATCCGCTCTCCCCGGACCCTACATTCACTATATCCGGTCTCCCCGGACCCTGCATTCACTATATCCGCTCTCCCCGGACCCTACATTCACTATATCCGGTCTCCTCGGACCCCGCATTCACTATATCCGCTCTCCCCGGACCCCGCATTCACTATATCTGCTCTCCCCGGACCCTGCATTCACTATATCCGCTCTCCCCGGACCCTGCATTCACTATATCTGGTCTCCTTGGACCGTGCATTCACTATATCTGGTCTCCTCGGACCCTGCATTCACTATATCTGTTCTCCCCAGACCCTGCATTCACTATATCCGCTCTCCCCGGACCCCGCATTCACTATATCTGGTCTCCTCGGACCCTGCATTCACTATATCCGGTCTCCCAGGACCCCGCATTCACTATATCTGGTCTCCTCGGACCCTGCATTCACTATATCTGGTCTCCTCGGACCCTGCATTCACTATATCTGGTTTCCCTGGACCCTGCATTCACTATATCCGCTCTCCCCGGACCCCGCATTCACTATATCTGGTCTCCTCGGACCCTGCATTCACTATATCCAGTCTCCCCGGACCCTGCATTCACTATATCCGATCTCCCCGGACCCTGCATTCACTATATCTGGTCTCCTCGGACCCTGCATTCACTATATCTGCTCACCTCGGACCCCGCATTCACTATATCTGTTCTTCCCGGACCGTCAGTGCAGCCGGGTGAAGAGGAGGATTCATCTGGGGTCTGAGGTGGTACCACAGAGAGCTGGAATGCTCTTAAAGGAGAGATTATATATTTTTTCTTGTCCACATCTGTACATAGTTTCTAAGGAGTTTGTCCTCAAGTCTGCAGTTTCCTTGGGCATCCTATATACCCTTCAACCCCATCCAAGTTTGAAATTCCCTACAAAAAAAAACCAAAAAACCAAGCTCAAGGACTGTTTACTGACTCTGAGTGCAAAGTGTGGAAGAAAATGTGTGTTGCCTGGCTGTGCACAGCTTTAGGGGGACCCAAAAACTCAGCAACTCCTAAGGGGGTAGTGCTGCATTTAGAATCACTGAGCAGGGGAAAATCAGTGTACTTCTGTTGGCTGATCCGCACTTTTTTTTGTGAATACTTCTGAGCACTTCCAGGTTCACGGCTGTCAAATTCTGTCCGACGGCAACCAGAGCTGTAAAGAAATTGAGTACTATCACCTGCAGTATGTTATATACAGTAAATCAAAAATAAGGAACCCCCCCCCCTCCTCTACCTCCTCTACACATGCATAGACATGTGTACCCCCAAGATGCACATGAGTACATAGACAACATGTACACAGCGCATATCAGTATATTTACACAGGGTCTCGAAAGATGTTAGGCAGTCAGGATACTGGCTATCGCATTTTGAGAGACCCTAACATCTGGAAGTTAAAAACAGTTTTAAAAAATTTAAAAAAAATAAAAAATATAAAAGTCAAAGTCAAAAATTAAAAAAACGAAAATAGTTGTTTTATTGTTGCCAAGTTACTGTTCTGTTGTTACGGTTTTACTGCTACTGTTTTATTGTCAACCGTTGCTGTTTTCTTTGCAGGAATGCCATTTAGTTGCAGCACAGATCTGCTTATCCTGATAGCAATAGGGTCTTGCTCTCAGGATATATGTCAGTGTGGGCAGCGCTGTTGGATGAGATTTTTCATCTGCAGTTAAAAAAGAGCATATATCCCCAAGCATGGGGGCCTGGGGTGGCCTGCGGGTGGATGGACCCTATGCTTTGGCATATATTTTTAACATTTTTTGGGGGTAGAGATTTTTTCATCCGCATCGATCGATGTGAATAGTGGAATCTGCTGAATGAAAAAAAAAACCAACATTTCATGTATTCCCACCATTAGAAGTGGGTGCAGGGCTGTATATTCTAATGGTGGGCATACCACACACTTTTTCCGGCAGAGATTTCTTCTCTTTTTTTCATTCAGTCCACAGGCTGCATACAAAAAAAAAGAACATAGTATATATACCCAACAAGGACCAGCGACGTACTGATACATCACTAGACTATGAGTGGTTATACCAGGATGATGCCTGCAGCTGCAGGCATCATCCTGGTATCGTTTCTGTCAGCCGGCAATCGGCTTTCATGTAAAAGCAAACCTAGTGGCTAGTTAGCTGCAGGATTGCTTTTTACAAGCAGCTGCCTTCCACAGCTTTCTCAGGCTGTCTCCTGTGCTATCGGGGGAACCTGAGAATGCAGCTGGTGTTTCTGCCAGCTGACCATAGAGCTGATGGGAGACCAGAGTGGTGCCAATCATCTCTATAGTCTAAGAAATCGGAAGCTACGAGCATTTCATCACTTCAGTTTCACAAGATATAAACAGCGCCATTTGTAAATTGGGAAAGCATCTGATGTCACCCATGTTGATGAGATCGTGTTGGTATGTAAACAGCGGTTGCACCATGCATGTGAGGTATCGCTGCGTACGTCAGATCGAGGGCAGTAATTCTAGTACTAGACCTCCTCTGTAAATCTTAAATTGTAGCCTGTAAAGGCTTTTAAAGTGTCGCCTATGGATATTAAGAATGTATGCATTTGTCGCCAATGCATGGGGCGTGCGCAGTTTTAAAGCGTGTCATGTTTGCTATCTATTTACTCAACGTACCAACATCTTTTATATTTTACCAAACAACTGGCCAATATATTGTGTCTTTGTGTATTGAAAGTTAAAAAAGATTTTTTTTTTTTTTAAATTGCGTTTAAAAAATCGCTGTGTGAGTATTATGTGATATAAAAATTGCAGCATCCAACATTTTATTCACTAGGGTGTCTACTATATATAAAATATATAATTTTTGGGGGTTCAAAGCAATTTCCTAGCAAAAAAATGCAGATTTTTTTCAAGTGAACAAAAAATGTCAGCGCAAATCTATATACATGCAGTAATTATAAACTTAAAGCGGAACTCCCCCCAAAAGGACTTAAGGACTTCTCCCCCACTCCCCACTAAGGATTGGCACCTTTGGGGAGCAGGGGGGGAGCGGGTACCCAAATTTGACAGGTACCCGCTCCCACTTCCGGTCCAATCGCCGCGGCGATCGGAAACAGAAAGTGTCCTCCTACCCTCCCTCCCTGTAGTCTTTTGGGACACCTGACAGGTCCCAGAAGACTACAGGACCATTCATGAAGTGCAGCGCTTCTCGCACATGCGCTGTGGGTACCCGGCTGTAAAGCCGCAAGCTGTCACAGTCGGGTGCCCACACTGAAGATGCCGGCCTCCTGGAATACAGGACAGTTGGTGAAACGGGCTGCGGGGGACACACCAAGGTACCGAGGGACAGGTAAGTGGCTGTTTTTTAAAAGTCAGCAGCTACAGTTTTTGTAGCTGTTGACTTTTATTTTTTGATATGTCGAGTGGAACTTCGCTTTAAGTGATTTTCATGTGCAGTAACAGTTTTAATTGTATAACTGTGAAAAATATTGGTGCATCGTGATCCAACATAGTGTCCATCCTGGTAAGGCACACACCAATTCTCACAGCACACAGCCAAAAATACTGACTACATGTGTTAGCAAAACAGGGTCCATGACCTCCACTGGTAGGTAATCCAATCTTACGGGTTATCTAGGCTATAAAATGTGACCCCCATGAATCGCTGTCATGGCGGTCACATGATCGGGAAAGGTCCCGATCGAAGGAGGAGATCGGGACCTTTCCGTGAGTATCAAACATGTGTGCTGGGAGCACGCAGGGCACACGCTCTCAGCACATATGGTTTTTTTTAATAAAACGCAAATGTGTGGCCGCTTGGCGTCAAGGCCCAGATGCCAGGAGGCCGCACTTTTGCATTCGGCCAGCGCCAAGAGGTTAAACATATATGTCCAGATCTCCAGGAACTCCCTCGCATGCGCAGGAGTGACACCATCTCCACCCGGCCAATGGCAGCGATCAAGACCCAGAAGCCAGCCGCCCACCCAAAGATTTCAGTGGCAGATGGTGAGCATCGCTGGTTTCTAGATGAGTATACTTCCGCTTTAACTACTTCAATACGGGTCCAAGTCTGACTCTTCTCTCAGAAATGTAAAAATCAGCATTTTATCTCTAGAAAATTGCTTAGAACCCACAAACATGATATATTTTTAAGCAGAGCCCCTTGAGAATAAAATGGTGGGTGCTGACATTTTTTTGTCATGAAATACAAAACACAAAAGTACAGTTTAATGAATTGCAATTTTTGCAATCATGACACAGGGTGGGGCAATCTACACTTAGTAACAAGAGACACACAGGTATTCAAACTTCACACCAGCAGACAGTCCCATCAGGAGGGAGGGCTGCTGGAAACACCCCCCCCACTAAGCTAAGACACATAACATTAAACAATCCACAACCCCCACCCCACCTATCTGCTAAACATGTCTACACAGTCTGAGACAAAACCCACACAATATTAGGACAGATCACCCTGTACCCCTAACAGGCACAGGGTGACTTACACATAAGAGGGATATGGGGAGCTGAGACAGGGGTCTCCCCCACCTCTCCAAAGTGAGCTGGGTTCCATGGGGGCCCCCCATCCAAAGTGACTCCCATCGCACAGAGCAACATAAATGTAAAATAATAATAAAAAAAAATTCCTGTATTGGTATTTTATCTACAAGGTGGCATACCTGTTGATTTCTCACTGCTACGATTTAGCAGCGCAAATGTAAAAAAAAAAGCAACAGTGATTTCCACATTGTATCAACCTGCTATACAACACCGATCTTGCTTTCTCATGTGAATAATTTCATATTAACCTTTCGTTTGAGGTGATTGTAGCCGTATTAGTGCATTTGCGATAGAAACAATACCTCACGTGTGTGGTTTGAACACCATTTACATATCTGGGCGTGGCCTATGTATGGGGGGGGCATTTTAAACTTTTTTTTTAATTTATTTCATTTTTTTTTTTTTTGCACTGTCCCTTAAAATAAAATGTTTAATCAGTTTTATTCTTACCGCAAAAACAATTGAGTACTGTCCGTGATACTTTTTTTATTTGCACTAACATAACATTTTGAGGACAAACTTTCGGGGTATGTCCCCTTCTTCAAAGTCCAAACAGTATTATTACAAATCACAAAGTTTAAGCAGAATGTTAGAAGGGATTGAAAAAAAAAAAGGCTACAGATAAGATACATCAAAAGTGAGGGGCGGAGGGGGGGGAGACTACACTCACACAGAGGGGGTCAAGCTTCAGCTAATAGTCATAAAGCTGTCGGATAATGGTTGAGGAATCCCATGTCCAAGTTATGGCCGTTATCTTTTGTTTCAAATAGAATTATCATTCTTAGTTCAAATGTTTTTCTTTGCTGAATGGATTTGAATTTTCGTTTCAGAACTAAAACATTGAGGTCTTCCATTGTGTGGTCTGGTTTGTGTGAAATGGTGTCCTACAGGTGTGCAGAGGTCATCTTCTTTATGTTCCTTGATGGTATGTCTGTGCAGATTCATCCTTGTTTGCAACTTCTGTCCTGTTTCGCCAACATAAGATCCTTTGCTGCATTTTCTGCACTGGATGAGGTACACAACATTACTGGAGGTGCAGCTGTATGATCCGGAGATATTGAAGATCCTTTTTGAGTGTCTGACACTTTTTGATGGATTGATTTGGTTGCACAGCTTGCAGCGTTTCTTATTGCAGGGTTTGCTTCCATTATTTGTGACATCATCATCAGAAGGAAGTTTCCTACTGATTAGTTTATTTCTGAGGTTGGGGG